CGGCATTCATTTTTCAAATCAAAATAGTCTGGAAAGCTATGATCTTACTTTTTTTTAGCATAATCAAGTTTTATACCCTAAGGTTAAAATAACAGATCGGGGTTGGAACAGCCCAAAGTAGGGATTTGGAAGAGGCATCAGATGTAGGAATGTGCATGGGTTAGACAGGAACAACGGAATTTAATTTCACTAGTGGAAGCCTAATCCACATTAGTTATGTTTTTCAGCATTCTGAAACCACCTGAACCAGCAAGAAACCTAAGAAGACCAGCTGAGATAGCGAATGGAGTAATTAATCAGTTATCTTTTTGTTATGGCTGACAACCCCACTAAACTTCAGAAAAAAATATCCTCCTAACTCTGTGGTTAAGGAGGTTGCCCGAGTGAAATACTATGTGGAGCGCTGATCTGCAAGAGCGTGAACTGTCCAGTCTCTGGGGAGAGGAAACTTAACTGCAGATGCACATTATTGCATTTTTCTAGTTAGATTTGAAATTCATTTTGTTATCAACAGCTTCTTAAAGGAGAAATAGATTAAATTAATTTGCCAAATGCTTCCAACTGTATATAATAAAAGCTGAATGTAATAAAAGAGAATATTTCTTGTTGCTAGGTCATGAATCACTGGATTAGTTAATACTAATACAAGAAATACAGAATTCCAGGACAGGGAAGGGTGATGGGAAGTTTCGGATTTCCAGTGCTGTATGTTTAAAAAAAGCACCAAAATGGTGGTTCTCTCACTGTAACAACGATACTGACCCAGCACAATAGTTATCCTGACCTAAATGGCGCACTGAATTGTCCTTTTAACATTTACCAGTAGTAGCAAGGCTGAAGAGGTTTCTAGCCTTATCAGAAAGTATGTTAGGCACAACTAAATTGTCAGTCAGTGCTTAGACATCCTTCCTGGTTCTGGCTAGGACTACAGGCTGCAGTATAGTTCTTAATGTAAACTGTAGACTACAGAAAACCATGATCTCACAAACAGCTTACATTGACAGAATTTGGCACTGCCACCAAAAGAAGGTGGGCAGGGGGCTACCCTCTCACCTCTCAGGGATTTACTGCTTTTGCTATCAGGGTGTTCATGCGGCCAAGTAACAAACCTAGACCTGAGAAGTGGCTGAAGTTAAGTCTTGGGGAAGACTGAAAACACCCCCCCCCCAAAACCACTGAATGGATTGGTGAATAGTTTTTCGGGAGATGTCCAGGCTAAAGCAGCTCCTCCTCTCCCGTCTGGCCGTGACCGCTCCTTCCTGTTCATGTGCCATTCCCTTGGCTGGGCCTTCACAGTGGTGGCTGTGCAAAAGGACTACACCGGGGCAACGGCTTACTGTAAAATAGCCTGTTTACTGGGAGGGTTTGTTTGTTTGTTTGTTCCTTTGATCTCCACCTCAGGCCGGTCTGTCCCTCCGTCTGTCTGCGCGCTCGTACACACGCTTCTTAACTGCCTAGGAGACGCTTTACATTCTCACAGCCCGAGCCCGGCAGTTTGTTTCCCGCGAGCCTCCCCCCTCGGAGGACAAGGCCGCGCCTCCCTCACCCTCCTCCTCCTC